TTTTTTTTTTTTTTTTTTTTTTTTAAAGTAGAGATGATGTTTCACCATATTAGCTAGGCTGGTCTCTTGACCAGGCTGGTCTCAAGCTCCTGACCTCGTGATCTGCCTGCCTTGGCCTCTGAAAGTGCTGGGATTACAGGTGTGACCCTAGAATTTCTTTTCTTTTTTTTTTTTTTTTTGAGACGGAGTCTCGCTCTGTCACCCAGGCTGGAATGCAGTGGCCGGATCTCAGCTCACTGTAAGCTCCGCCTCCCAGGTTTATGCCATTCTCCTGCCTCAGCCTCCCGAGTAGCTAGGACTATAGGTGCCCGCCAGCTCGCCCAGCTAGTTTTTTGTATTTTTTTAGTAGAGACGGGGTTTCACTGTGTTAGCCAGGATGGTCTCGATCTGACCTCGTGATCTGCCCGTCTCGGCCTCCCAAAGTGCTGGGATTACAGGCTTGAGCCACCCCGCCCGGCCTAGAATTTCTTATATCTAACCTCTTTTCAGGTTTCCCAGCTCAAATACAGCTGTAAAAAATATATGGGGGTGGGATGTGAAATGTTGAGAAACACACTCACCGTACAAACCCAAAGAATGGACTTAGAGGCTCGAAAAACAGCAAATGTGAGACTTTTTAATAATGGTCTAGCCAGGTGCAGTGGCTCATGCCTGTAAGCTCAGCACTTTGGAAGGCTGAGGCAGGCAGATCACCTGAGGTTGGGAGTGCAAGACCAGCCTGACCAACATGGAGAAACCCCGTGTCTACCAAAAATACAAAATTAGCTGGGCATAGTGGTACATGCCTGTAATCCCAGCTACTCAGGAGGCTGAGGCAGGAGAATCGCTTGAACCCAGGAGGCGGAGGTTGTGGTGAGCCAAGATCGCGCCATTGCACTCCAGCCTGGGCGACAAGAGCGAAACTCCATCTCAAAAAAATAAATAAGTAAATAATAATAATAATGGTCTTGCAAGATCAGGTGTTTGGTGGGCAAGCACACTGGGACAGTCACAACAGGTAATTTATCTCTTAGCGTACAAGTCCCTCCGCCAGTTCCTCAGTGGTTAAGTACTGTGGGGTGACAATCTTCCCGGACGTTGCCAAAGTTTATTATCCCCCTTATAAGGTTATACCCCATTCCCTTCCCCTCTTAAGTTTTGATTTCTCAATAACGAAACTTTCTTCCCTTTTATGGGCGGATCCCTCCTCTACATTCGCTTCACTTAGTGTGACCTCCTAGGCGCATGAACTGTGTGGTTTGTTACATTTGCAGGCCAGCTGCCAGTACTTAGATTTATCATGCCTTGAAAACAAACCATTTAAAATGTTTTTTCACATGAAAGGAGGGAAGTGCAAAGGAATTTTAACATGGAAAACTGAGACATCAAAATGAGATTAGTCCATACTGCAGGAAGCTCCTTTAAATTACAAACATACTAATGTTGTTTTTCTATATTAGTAAACATTTTAAATATACATGCCCAAGATTCCTGGGTAAAAAAAACCGTAAGTTCCTGGCAGCAGAGATGAGCTAACAATTAAAATAAATAAATAAATAAATAAATAAAGAGATGGAACCTGCAACCTCCACCTCTCGGGTTCAAGTGATTCTCCTGCCTCAGCCTCCCGAGTAGGTGGGATTATAGGCATCGCCCAGCTAATTTTTGTATTTTTAGTAGAGATGGGGGCTCACCATGTTGGCCAGGCTGGCCTTGAACTCCTGACCTCAAGTGATCTGCCCGCCTCAGCCTCCCAAAGTGCTAGGATTACAGGCGTGAGCCACCGCGCATGGCCAATTTTTTTTTTTTTTTTCTCTAGAGACAGAGTCATGCTCTTGTTGCCCAGGCTAGAGTGCAAATGGTGCCATCTTGGCTCACTGCAACCTTCGCCTCCTGGGTTCAAGCGATTATCCTGTCTCAGCCTCCCAACGAGCTGGGACTACAGGCACCTTCCACCATACCCGACTACTTTTTGTATTTTTAGTAGAGACAGGGTTTCGCCATGTTGGCCAGGCTGGTCCTGAAGTCCTGACCTCCAGTAATCCATCTGCCTCGGCCTCCTAAAGTGTGGGATTACAGGCATGAGCCATCATGTCTAGTTGAAAAATTTTTTTTTTTTTTGAGATGGAGTCTCGCTCTTTGGCCCAGGCTGGACTGCAGTGGCGCGATCTCGGCTCACTGCAAGCTTCACCTAAGGGTTCACACCATCCTCCTGCCTCAGCCTCCTGAGTAGCTGGGACTACAGGTGCCCGCCACTGCGCCCGGCTAGTTTTTTGTATTTTTAGTAGAGATGGGGTTTCACCGTGTTAGCCAGGATGGTTTCGATCTCCTGACCTCGTGATCCACCTGCCTCGGCCTCCCAAAGTGCTGGGATTACAGGCATGAGCCACTGAGCCCGGAAGAAAAATAATAATTTTTTAAAGCATAGGATGATAGAACTCTTATACCTGGACACCTGACTGGAAAAACGTTTACAAAATGAAATGCAAGAAGGAAAGGAGAGTACGCTTATAAGAAATATTTTCCAATTTGAAAAGAGGAGACTGAAGAGTCAAGAGGCAATTCTGTGAAAGTTTTAAAAATATTTCATCAAGATTAAGAACTTCTACAAACCACAGTGGGACCTCAGGAAAAGCAGTGTGAGTATTTGAAACTTACCATCTTCCAGAACACTGAGCCAAGTTGAGAGAACCAGCCAAAGCCTACGGAAATACATGGAATATACCCCTGGATACGGCACACTTAAAAAGATTTTAGAAAAAAGAACAGAACTCAGATCTGCCAAAAATAACTGAACCCTTCAGTGGCAAGCTTCTCAACAGCACATGTCCTCAGGTTAAAGAGGATGAGGCCAGGCATGGTGGCCCACGCCTGTAATCCCAGCACTTTGGGAGGCCGAAGCAGGTGGATCACCTGAGGTAGACCAGTCTGACCAACATGGTGAAACCCCACCTCTACTAAAAACACAAAATTAGCTGGGCATGGTGGTGCATGCCTGTAATCCCAGCTACTCGGGAGGCTGAAGAAGGAGAATTGCTTGGACCTGGGAGGTGGAGGTTGCAGTGAGCCAAGATCACACCACTGCATTCCAGCCTGGGCAACAAGAGCAAAACTCCATGTCAAAAAAAGAAAAGAAAAAGAAAAAGAAAAATGAAAAGAGGATGAAAGCAACAATCGACAACTAACCATAGTGGATGAGCAGGGGTGGGTGAGATAGGTCCCAAAGAAGACTAGAAACATATCAAGGATATTTCATCTATACTCTGTAGCTACAAACAAAAAGGTGTAAACAGAGCTATCCACATGTAACATGAAGAAGATAAACAAAAATGACATAGCAACTATCAAACCTACCATAAAAAAAGAGAAATACAATGAGAGAAGAAATTTCCATGCAACAGATGAAGAACCCAATCTGGAAAACAATATAAGCCCTCAAACCAAAAGTAGGTTCCTCCTTGAATACTTATTTGAATATTTCAAATGAGAATGTGAATTCAAGTTGAATTTTAAAAAAAAACTATAGGTCGGGAGCAAGATGGCCAAATAGGAACAGCTCCAGCCTCCAGCTCCCACAGTGAGCGACACAGAAGACGGGTGATTTCTGCATTTTCAGCTGAGGTACCGGGTTCATCTCACTGGGAAGTGCTGGACAATTGGTGCTGGTCAGCTTGTGCAGCCCGACCAGCGAGAGCTGAAGCAGGGCGAGGCATCGCCTCACCTGGGAAGTACAAAGGGGAAGGGAATCCCTTTTCCTAGCCAAGGGAAACTGAGACACACAACACCTGGAAAATCGGGTAACTCCCACCCTAATACTGTGCTTTACCAAGAGTCTTAGCAAACGGCACACCAGGAGATTATATCCCACACCTGGCCCGGAGGGTTCCACGCCCATGGAGCCTCCCTCATTGCTAGCACAGCAGTCTGAGATCTAACTGCAAGGCGGCAGCGAGGCTGGGGGAGGGGTGCCCGCCATTGCTGAGGCTTCAGTAGGTAAACAAAGCCGCGCAGAAGCTCGAACTGGGTGGAGCCCACCACAGCTCAGGGAGGCCTGCCTGTCTCTGTAGACTCTACCTCTGGGGACAGGGCATAGTTAACAAAAAGCAGCAAAAACCTCTGCAGATGTTAATGACTCTGCCTGACAGCTTTGAAGAGAGCAGTGGATCTCCCAGCACGGAGGTTGAGATCTGAGAACGGACAGACTGCCTGCTCAAGTGGGTC